CCCCCATTCATATGTTGAAATCCGAACCTCTGCCCTAGCCGGTTTGCTCAGTGGTTAGAGCTGAAAGGCCCCAGATTCCATTCTGGCCAAGGGCAAGTGGCAGGAACTTCGTTGCAGGCTTGATTCCCAGCCCCATCCGGGAGCCTGTGGGAGGCAACCAATCGATGGGCCTCTCTCACATCAATTGTTCCTCCCTCCCTCCCTCGTTTCTACTCTCTCTAAAAAGCAATGGAAAAAATACACTCTAGTGAGGATTAAAACTTTTTTAAAAACCCTAACCTCAAGGTGATAATACTAGGAGATAAGGACTTTGGGAGGTGCTTAGGTCCTGAGGATGGAGCCCTCATGAATGCGATGAGCCCCTTTATAAAAGAGACCCCAGAGAGCTCCCTAGCCCCTTCCCCCATGTGAGGGTCCAGAAAAAAGGTAGCTGCCTATGAAGCAGGAAATGGGCTTTCACCAGACACTGAATCCATGGGTGCCTTCATCTTGAACTTAGCCTCTAGAACTGTGAGAAATAAATTTCTGTTGTTTATAAGCCATCCAATTTACGGTATTGTTGTTATAGCAGCCTGAATGGACTAAGACAATGAGTGTGAGGAAGACCCCTGATTCCACCCTCATCAGCTGCATGACCTGGGCAAGCTGCTTAATCTCCCTGAGCCTCAGAGTCCTGGACTAGCTGTTGATGTGAGGATTGAATGAGACAATGCATGCAAATCACTTAGCACAGGTTGACACACAGAGGGGCTAGCTAAATGCAAAATTTTGTTTTAATAGAATTCAGAATCCAGTAGCAAAATATGATAACTGCACAGATAACTCTAACACATTTGGTGGAGGGCTAGTAGAATGAGTTGGGAGGGTAAGATCTAGAATAGCAGAGATGGAGGGGAAAGGTAATCCAGGTGGACAAAAAGGTGAAGCAAAGCCTGGAGGCGCAAAAGCACACTGTGTGTTCAAATAAGCAGACTGGTTTGGCTGGAGCACAGCGGGTGTTTATGTAGCAGTGGAAGGTAATGCCAACTGGTGTCAATGTAAGTTGAGTTGAGTTAAAATAGTGGAAGGACTTGAATATCAGATTGGAGGGTTAGTGCTTAACTGATTGGGAAATAAGAGTTTTGATGAAGGGAATGATGTAAGACCTGCTTTATTTTTCAGTTAGAGTGGGAAGAGGCTGCAGAGAGAAAGGTTTGTTAGGAGACCACTATTAATAGTCTAGACAACAGCAATTAGGATCTGATTTAGAGATAGTGGACACAATTGATAGGAAATGATAGGAGTATAGTCATTGGGAAGATAGAATCTCTAGGGCTAGCCTATGGTGGGGGCGGTGTGACAGGAACACCAGAGGTGGGGGCTAAAGAAGTGAGCCAAGGCCAGGTTGCTAGGAGATTACCCATTAACAGATTAATTGACCACCTAAAGATCAGTTTTAGTATAAAGGGGTGGGGGGGGGGCAGAAGTCATTTTATGAGAGGTTAAGCGGTGAATGGCAAGCAAAAAATGGGTACTCATTTTCAAATGTGTTATAATATAAATAATGATTATCTCTGTATGTTAAGATAATAGTTGCTTTTTATTTGTGTTATATATTTTTTTTTTTTAAATATATCTTTATTGATTCAGAGAGAGGAAAGGAGAGGGAGAGAGAGAGATAGAAGTATCAATGATGAGAGAGTCATCGATCGGCTGCTTCCTGCATGCCCCCGACTGGGGATCAAGCCCACAACCTGGGCATGTGCCCTGACCAGGAATCGAACCCCAATCACCTGGATTCTAGGTCGATGCTCAACCGCTGAGCCACGCCCGGCCGGGTTGTGTTATATTTCTTTTTCCCTAAGTTTTCTTTAGTAAACGTTTTACTTTCTATAGGAAAAAAATGTTCGGAGTTCTTGTTTTCACTTTTTGTTAGAAACATTTTCAAACACACAGAAAGGTAGAAAAAATAATCTGAAAATATCTATATTCCCATTACCAAATTTTCATAATTTGCCATGTTTGCTTCATCCATTTTTAAGTTACAGCATGGTAACATTCCACCCCAACACACTTTTTATATCTAAAAATAATGATTTTTTTACATAATTACAATAAGATTATAATTCCTGATAAATTTAACAATAATTCCCTAATATCATTTTGTACCCAGTTCAAACTCAAACTTTCCTAAATTACCCCAAAATATCTCTTAGAGCTGGTTTGTTCAAACCAGGACTTAATCAAGAACTACTCATTGCATTTGCTGTTATGGGGGGTTCTTTTTAAGAAAACTGACTTAATTGGAAGTTCATGAGCAATTAAAACATTTCATGAAGAAGGTGTCATTTGAAACTAGGTCCTTAAGGATATGTCAGAATTGACATGGGTAGAGAAGTGAGGAGGTCATTTCAGGAACAGAGATCAAAGTGAGATCAAAGCAAGGCTGAAAGGTAGCTGATGTATTTGGAGAGTGGTACTTAGCCCAGCTATTTGGATCAAAAGAAAGGGAATATTGGGGGATAAAGTAAGCAAAATCAATTGGAGACAGGTCATGGAGGGCCTTGAAGTTGTTTCCAGTGCACTCTGTGGAGCACTTGAGAACTTAAGTGTGCCCCAGATGTGGATAACCCATCAGTCCATAACGCCTGCAGGACAGTGCTTGTGTTTTATACATCTGTGTATCCCTGGCACCCAGCAGAGTGTACCGTGTGGATGCTCACATGGTGTTATTGGAGGATTTTTAGTTGGAGACTAACAAGCTATAAATCTCTTTTGGAAAGATTTAAAAAATTGCTTGGTAATGATGGTGAATAGAATAAGAATTGAGAGAAGTGATCTATCTAAATGAGTTGGAGCAATTGAGGAAGACTTCGTAGAGAAAGTGGGGCTTGGCTAGATGTCGAAACAACACAAGCAAAGATGAAGTCAGGAAGGAGCCGAGGAGAGCATGACAAGTGAGTGGAATGCACTTTGGGTGCTCTGAGAAATGAGATTCCAGAAGACAAGGTCAGGAATGGTTTAGGGAGTCCAATATTGTTCAAGGATCTCTGTTATTACTCAAAAAATGACCTTTGATCACCCTAGGGAGTCCAATATTGTTCAAGGATCTCTATTATTACTCAATAAATGACCTCTGATCACCTTTGAATTCAAGATCTGGGATTTTTAAAATTGTATCTACCTGTGTTCTTTCATACAAGAACTTTTAGTACAATAAGAAAGACAATTGGATAAGATTATTCCCAGCCTAAAAAGAATGAAAAACTCGAGAAAGGAATATTAAATCAGAATTATATTGGGTCATGTTCATTTCAAATTTGCCAGACAATTGAAATATGATACTGAGCACAACCACACATATGAAATGGGAATATGATTGGCAGTGTTAGCAAATTTAGTTAAAATAAACTCGATAAAGCAGAACATTT